CGAGAAGTCCCCAACATCATCCCAACCTGTGACGCCGCCGCCGATTAGCCTACGCAGGTTGTCAGAAGGACATACGTACCGAACGTAGCTGGTACGACAGCGACACGACCCTCCAACGCCGCGGGCTCCGCCACGGCGTTGTCAATAGCGATCTTTTCGAGGGTGGGCCACAGCTCTTCTAGCAACTTATTTCGCTGGATCTCATCATCCCAGACAGCAGCGACTCTTGTTAGACCCTCCTCAAGCTCGGGTTTATACTCCCTGAGCAATTCCATTAAGAACGAAGCCTTCGTGACGAACATGCCCGCGTTCCATCGATAAGAACCAGTAGCGATGTACGCTGCGGCCGTACGCGCATCGGGTTTTTCTTTGAAACTTGACACGAGGCGCGCGTTTGGCGCCTCAGGAATGCTGAGTTTGTCACCCAGCCGCACATAACCGAAACCGGTCGAGGGGTGAGAGGGGGCGATGCCGATGGTGACGAGGTAGCCGTTCTGTGCGACCTGGACAGCTTCAGCGACGGCGGTAAGGAACGCGTCAGTACCCGAGATCATATGGTCGGCCGCAAACGAGCCAATGACGGCATCAGGGTCACGTTGTGCGAGGATCGCCGCAGCGAGGCCGATTGCGGCCATAGAATCTTTCGGGCCCGGTTCGCAGAAGAGGTTTTGCGGCAATAGATCCGGAAGCTGTTCATGGATGCTTTTAACGTGGGCGGGGCCGGCGACGACCGTGAGACGATCAGCACCGCTAAGTGGCACCAAACGATCCCAGGTGGCTTGAATCAGGCTGCGGCCTTGTAGAGTCACGTCGAGAAGGAACTTAGGGTGGTTTTCCCGTGACAGGGGCCACAGACGCGTGCCGGCGCCTCCAGCTGGGATGACAACATAGAAACCAGGGATCTCACGAATAGGCCCGAAAGGAGAATAAGACACGCGGTTGTCGCCGAGTGGCGATGCTACGTGTACGGAGGGCACGACGCCGAGAGAGGGAATCGAGTTCGAGTTGAGGAAAGGAGTCTTTGCGCGAAGCTGGGGAGAGCTAGGGGCTGGGGTGTTGAAACCAGGAGTCCCTATATGGGGGCTTCGCATCTGCTGACTGTCCATTAGCGTAGCGTGGGCGATACTGGGAGGGAGGACATACCGCAGAAACGATGCCCTCCCTAACCTGACGCTCGAGGCTCAAGTTGGCCTGCCGCAGTTCGGTGCATTCCTGACGGAGCTCAGCAATCTCCGCGCGCTGTAGAAAAACGTGTCAAGAGGGTCGTGTCGTAAAGATGTTCGATGACAGGACAGTACTGACAGATTTGAGGACAACTTCCAGGATCTGGGTAAACATGGACTCGACATTAGAGACACTGGGACCACCAGAGATGGGCTGAGTGGCCAAGGGTGAACCCAGATGGCGAGAGAAGGACATGGGTGGAGAAAGGAGGGACGAGAGGAGGGGGATAGTGATGGAAATTACAGCGGGTGTTTTTGAGGACGCACGTGGTGTCGGTCTGCACCTGGCACCATCTCGGCATCACACATCACGAAATGAATGATGATGTCCATGTCATGGGGACAGGAATGCACACTGCCTATAAGCGCCGGGTTAGCCGTATTGTTCTTCATTATTCCACTATCTGGTACATTCCTTATGGACAGCTAGCACTAGTGCACCACTCACAGTGCCTAACTCGTGGCAATACCTCGTGGACACGTTGAAACACTAGCGTGATATTTAGTGCACTCGGTCTTAGTGCGGCGTACGAGTGTTGAGTTGTGTATGATCTAACATTACAGAAGCTGGCCGAATAAAGCCAACGGTCCCTCACTAGAATAGTCCACATCTCATATCCACAGTGAGGGCCAGAGTGGCGTGCTTGGCGCTAGGAGGTTCTACCTAGAAGGGATTATGGGAGTGATATATTGGGTCTGGTGAACATCTTGTCCTCGTTACTTACAGTGCACAAGTAAGGCTACGGACGACGATGTTAATTCAAGACAGTACTCTCGAGGTCGAGGAACGAAAGGTAGTATATATGTACTTCTCAACGTTTAGATAACCTCTTCTTCATCCATTCCCGCCTGATCGTATCATCGTAAAGCGCCAAATAGGCGTTCGCGAGTGTAACATCCTAAGGCAACGTGGTCATAGCACTTGTCTCCTCCTCGGAGAGGCCGTCGTCCCGTTCCTGTACAAGTTTGATCGCCCGTGCGGACAGCGCCTCTAGCGTTTTCGAATCCTGGTTTGAAGGTTTGAGGACCTCGGCCACGATATCATTAAACCGAACGATAGCCGCATGCAGGCCGAATAGGGCAACAGCCATAGAGGGTTCGTAGATTGTTGTGAATCCTTTCCGAGGCGGGGGATGGTGGGTCTGATGACGTCGTCTCTCTGGCAGGTGTGGAAGTCAGAGAAGTGGATACGTTGGTTGAAAAAAGGGTTTTACAACGTGGCCTCGTCTTCGTCTTCGTCTTCTTCCTCGAGGGACACGAGGATTGCGGCGGACTGAACACAGATAGCAACGACAACTGCGGCAGCAGCAACCAATAACAGCCGCCGTTGTCGTGTCGCATCGTTCATCTGGATTCTGTAAGTGTGCTTTCGAACCAAGTTCAAGCCCAGCCAAAACCCAGCCATTCACGCAAAGGCCGTTGCGGCTACCATTCCCCGATATGGTCTTGCGCTTGCCAGTGCCACAGGCGAATTGTTCCGGTTTGGAGGTCTTGTACACAACTCTCTGCACAACGATTTATATGTGTTCTCAGCGCGGGATCTCCAAGTAGTCTCCGGGACTCTCCTGCAAACCAGCGGAGAGGTTCCCAGCCCATGTCTCGGACCAATCGGCGCGCTCGACAGCAGTGCAGTGTCCTTTGATTTGGGGGCCACGAACGTTGATGACTAGGGCATAGCTGAAAGGGCCCTATGACGAATTCCTTTTATTCTCTCAGTCAAGGCACCTCGGATCGCTGATATCAAGACTGGCTCCAGCTGATTAGAGTTTCTTCCACCCCAGCTTCTGGAGAGTGGACTCGCGTCATGGTGAATGAACGCCATGCCGTCACGACGATGGTCGGTTCTACGGCTCTTCGTCTTCGGTGTTCAGATCGACGGGAAGTGCGCGAATTCAATTTGAACTCTCGTACGATCTTCCATCGCTGCTTGAACCTGTTTGGGACCCATATGAGCCCGCACCCGGAGACGAGAAGCCGAGGATCAGTCATGTTTTAGTAACCACCAGTGACCGCATCATCCTGTTCGTTCCCCTCTCACTTCGCCCTCTCCCCTCGTTACCAAACTCTGTAGATTCGGTGGTGCCGACGGCCGATATCACCATAGCGACACTTGACGTTTCGACACGAAAGTGGACCGGCTACGATGCTGCTGCGTCTCCCCGATGTTATCATGCTGCTGCCCTCGTCGATGATATTATGTATGTCTTTGGTTGGGCGTGGTATCGACGCTTGCGACCTGCTGCCTTCGAGATGGTTCATCATGAAGATGTTTCAAACCCGGGATCAAGTCCAAACCCAAATTCGGGTCCCGAGAAGATCGGGTCATGCCATGGCCTCTAACGGGACACGGGTCTTCTTTGTGCTTGGAAGAAAATTGCCAGCATTCGGACGACTTTATTGAAGCAATGATTATTCACATTTTGAACACAAGTACGTACTTCTTTTGTCATAACATTTGGACAGCCTCTAAGTTTGAAAACGCAGGGTTCATCGGGTTCTCGACGCCAACGCTGTTTAGCCTACTGAGAAGACCCCCAAAGTCGCGGAGAAGTTCATCCGGTCCCCCCACCCAGGAGCAACCACAACTCCCGACGTCCTCTTTGTCGTATTCTTACGTGGCATACGGCACAGTTGGAGCTTGAGCGGCAGCTGTCGGCCACGCTCGCTGCGCAAACCGAGCGGGACCAGTTCCTGGCACAGCTGACTGACGACGCGAGCCAAGCGGATCGACTACTCGCGCAGACGTCAGAGCTTGGGAACGCGCTTGTGTTGTCTCGTGACTGACCAGCACGTGCCGTGCGCGCAGCAGATTGGGATTGGGCAGTATGAAACTGAACTTGCAGAGGTGCATGCTGAGCTGGAGGCGAGGAACTCCGAATTGGAGGCAGGTCATCTAGCTCGCGGACGCGGGGAATGGTTGGGCCAAGAGCAAAAGAGAGGTAGACAGATTGCGTGCCCTGACTAACGCAGGTCTCTTTGGTACGGACCGATGAGGACCGAATCACACGCGGGCTTGTCGATTCGACGCATCCGAGCTATGGAAACTGAACTAGCGTCACCGGGGTGGAGCTCAGAAGCGATACAATCTCGCAACGAGGGATGTACCGGGTAGACATTTCACCCTACTCGGTGTCCAACTAGAGTACATCCCTCAGAAGGATGGCCAGCTTTTCTGACCGACGTTCTGCACTCCTTTCCCATACTCCGGCGCGCTCGCAATTTTACTGGGGTCTACAGTGTTTCTTGCTTTTCGGACCTTCTTGGTCGGGAGGATAAGTTCGCCGCCATTGAAACAGATCGGCAATGTTAGCTCTACGAACCGTTATTTCTTCAAAATGATCTCGCCACAGTACCCACGCCTTTATCGACAGGTTCCCATACCTGTTGACTTCAATCCAATCAATCTGCAATCTCGTCCTCCTTACATGAGTGCTCCACCACCTCCCCCGATGCCTCCATCGTGTCTGGCCCAGACCTTCTGATTATTCGCCGCCCTCCTCGTTTGACTTGGGGTCCAGCTTATAATATTTGAGAGTACGATCGTCAAAGTGACCTAAGATCTTCTAGTCCATGCCGTAGCTGACGGATTCATTCATCGTAACCATATGCCTTCAAAGCACCTTGAAGCTCCTATTACGATGGCACCAAATATTACATTGTTGTCCGTCGCAATTGAAAGTGTGATTCCTTGCCACCCCGCCAATGGGCGAGTAAAGTTTCCCCAGCGGGGGTTGCACAATGCACAAGCGTCCTGTCAGAGTACCGAAACTCTAAAAAAGGCGCTACCAGGGTTCGAACCTGGGTTAGCGGAACATAGTAAGAAGTCAGAATCCGCTGTGATAGCCACTACACTATAGCGCCACGATATGGGGGTGTGAAGTGCATGGTATCAATCGTGGACAGCACTTACTGTTTTGCCATTCCTTGTACTGTATTCTCATATCGCTGGTTGGTGTCCAACAGGAGATTGGTATCAGGGTATCGTATCCAACGGTGGGCCGAAATGCGCAATCGCCCCTTCTTCCGTGGACCGGTACAGCCGATCTGCCCGCCTATGTGGATTGACTGACGGTGACCACCAGCGAACCACCAATTTGCACTTTGCTCCGGATCTCACCAACTGCAATGACGACCAACCCATCGCACATCCTCATCGCTCGCAACTCCCGTGGCCAGTCAAATATTACCTCCGCATCGCTGAGCTCACCTATAGAGACACACGCCGCAGCAGCGGGGATTTTCCGTTCCTCGGCCGGATCACCTCCATGGTTCATCGAGGGCGTGGACACAGAAGATGCAGTCTCCGAGGTCAGCATCAACGACTCGCGGGAGCCCATCGACATCGACGACGCGTTCACCAAGGGCTCCGAGTTTCCTGGGACGGTTAAAAGTTGTTGAGAGCACGACGTTCTGGTGCGTGTGGGCTCGCTCATCTAACTCATCGAATGAACCCACTGATGGTGGGATCTGTTTAGGGCACATAAGGAAGTCCTTTGGTTTGCCTCTCCGTTCTTCCAGGCGGCTCTGAGTGGAAACTGGGCCGAGACCGGACGCCCGCTCTCAATGTCCTCTGTCATCACGATTTCTCAACCCCCAACAGTCCCTGGGGACAAGATTCATCCCGATGCGCCAACTGCCATGACGTTTGCACCCGTAGACCCCGACGTCGATTCCGACGACCTGGATGCCGACCTTTCAGAGTTGAGCGAACCGGAGGTCATCGAGTCCTCCACTTTAACCATCGTTGGGCCTGGAAAGGACAACAGGCAGATACCTGGGCCCGCGGTCGAATTAGATACATCCTCAGAGGCCGAGGCCCAGAAGAAGCCCACGAAGCCGCACGAATGGA